GACAACGAGGAGGCGGTGGCCAGGAGAGCCGAGCGCCGGGGCAGCTCCGCGCCTCAGGCCCCCGGGACCGCGCCTGCCCCGCGGCCGCGCTCCGTGCGCCTCTCGCCGGTAAGCCCGGGTCCGCTTACCCTTGCTTCGGGCACATCGGGCCCAGGGGCTGCTTGGGGAAGGACACCGGTGATTTGGGAGTGTGGGCGCGTGGTGTGGTGGCGCCGGCAGCCCCTCTCCTGCACTGGCCGCACCTGCAGGAGGCCCTCGGGGGCCCAGAAAGATGCCTAGAGGGCATCGCGTTGGTCACGCCGTGTGGCCTGGATTCCGGGCTCCCGCAGTCCGAGGTGACAGTGTGGTGACCTTCAGAGAGCCCCGAGCTGAACCACGCGAGAGCGTGAGTAGCACCCCGATTCCCACTCACCCGCACAACTAATGTGAATGACATCTGAACGTGTCTGGGACCGGACAGATGGCTTTTAGGACCCCCCTCCCGCACTTTCTATTCTGAGAGTGAACACGTTCACGTTGTCACTTTTTCGACATGCGTTTTCGAATTCGTTTCGAATCCCCAAGGTCAGCCTCTTGTAGGTGAAAACAAATGTAATAACATGCATTGTTTCATTTTTTGGTAAGGTCGTGTTTAGGGAAGCACATCGAAAGCCCAGGGTTTGGCGCTGGATGTCCCCTACCCATTGAGCTTCCGTGTTTTAGAACTTTTCGCTGCACTTGTCCAGAAACCGAAATCCACGTCCACTCTCAGCGCCCCCTCAGTCTGACTATTTAGGCTTCTGACTTTTATTTAAGTTAGTTCCCCCCTCCCCCGCCCCCATATGCTTAACTTAATTGCTTCAAACAAATGTGTAAACGTTGTAACGGTTGTCTGCAAGTTTGTAGACAGGATGGGTACTTTTTTCCTGGACTTCTTTTGGTTATCTGTGGCAGGGGGTGACAGACACCACAGGGAAACAAGCTAGGAACAGAGCCCTTTATGGTTTCCAACTACGAGAGCTGCAGAGAGGGAGGGATGTGGCCAGACTGAGCAATGCCCAGCTTTGAGCAGTCTGCACTGGGAAGGGTCTCCCAGTGGAGGGTGACAGGTTTGGAATTGGACCTGGAGTGACAGATGGCGCTATTCTCTTTTGGTTTGGAAGGGTCACTCTCGAGTGCCCTTTGCTGTTTGACCCCAGCCTTACCACGGAGATGCCCAGACAAGTGTGGACTGAGCCACCTGGAAAGCTGAGCCAGTCTCAGGATGCTGAGCTAGGTTAGAAAGCCATGTCCAGGGGCAGCAGGTTTGGTGAGCGTTGGGTTTCAGCTTGGCCCGAGCACTAGCCATTTCCTGTTCGATGCCCCAGGGACCTGTGAGATTTGGTTTCCCACCCCCAGCTCTCCCTGGAGAGTATTTCCATCCTGGCTATGTTGCTTATGCTCCTTCTAAAAGGACACCGGCCTTGGAGTGGGAAACGTGGATTCAAATTCCAGCTCCTTTCTCTTTAAGGCTGTATGACCTTATTTAACCTCTCTGACCTGGCTTTCCCCTCTCCTGGATCGTCCCCCACCTAAGAACAAAAATAAACCTCATTGGACTGGTGTGAGGATGAGAGGGTTTTTTAAATGAAAGTGTCAGTAGAAGTTTGACTAAATGACCTGAAAGGGTTTTCAGGTCTCCTCGCACCGTGACTAGGTTTGTGACTTGGTGAGCTTTTTGAGACCCAACAGGAATAATAAAGCAGATATAAAATAGTAATTATTATCTTATAGGTTTATTGTGAGGGTCAAATCAGGCCACGTAAAAAGGCTTTGAAAATACAAGAGCATCACTTGATTTGAAACAGATTCCTAAACTTTCTCTTTTTTTTTCATTTCCAAGTTAACAGCATCTTAGTGTTTGCCATCGGATGTGGACTTTCTTCCCATCATTGCGTTGTGAGCCCCTGCCTCTGACCTTGCACATAGTAGGTCTCTGTAATTGTTAGGTGTGTCTGGGCTCCCCATCTAAACCTCGTGCTCCTAGTGTGGGAGAACAGACCTTGGGCTTCCTCTGCTCCATCAGCTGTCCGTGTTTTCATAAACATGATTGTTCTGTTGCTCCGAGCAGCTTGAAAGACAGCCAAGGAGGGCAGGCATGCAGGTGGCCACTTTTCCTACAAGGGGAAGTTCTTTTTTTTTGCCTCTTTAGGACTTAGTTGAGAAAGGAATTGAAGCTGACTGGGAGTTATGAACCAAGCCTTTCATCTGGGCTACAGTTTAACACTATATGGTAGGAAGTCTAATAATGTTACAGTGACCAGCCTCTTCAAATAGATAATGATTACATGAGCCTTGGTTTTGAGGATGGACCTGATCTACTTAACTCACCTGTACTTGGTATGCATCATGACTTTTGTGGGGGAGGACAAAGGGATGCTCCTTTTAGGAAATGAAGGTGTTGGGGCGAGAACGGTCCTTAGCTTTTATTTTATAGTCCTGGGCATCTGTTGAATGGGTCTTCTGGTTCCTCCCCTCTTTTTTCTCTTTTGAACAAATGTTCCCTATTCTGACTTTCCTTCTTATTTGGTGTATCCAAATGGAGGCCACCTGCAGTGTCGAAAAGTTCGAAGTTTTAGCAGAGGAAGAGTAAATAATAGTAATGTATAGATCTGGATGCCTCTGAGCTACATATAATCGTAAATGATGTGCAGCTGCTTAAAGAAAGGCTTTGACACGTGTCTTAAGAGCTGTGTGGCATTATTCATTGAGAAGCTCAATTATGTGTTTGTTAATAGTGCACCTGAGGTGGAAAGGGGTGGGAGGGGATGGAAGGTGAGCTCTTAAAATCCTTCTTTGGGCTTCTTGTCCTGCATTCCAGGAAGGGCTGCTCCTGGCCTCACCTGGTTAGAGGTGAGATCTTTTCCTGGAAGCACTGTAAATCTCTTTGGTGAAGTCTGGCAAATGGTGACTTTTCAGGAAGACTAGCAAGTGGTGACGGCTTTTGGGCATCTTTTGGTTTCCATGTCTCAAGCTGGGAAATGGATTATATTGATGCTTCTTAAACTTGTCCAATAGGAACCCTGGAAAGGGGGCTTGGGGAGTTCAGCCTGAGGTTTCTAGCACTTTTCAGTGTTAGTTCAATGATGCCTTTGATGAAGAATAGAACACAGGATTCATTTCGTTTTGTTTTAATATAAAAATAATTAAATTGCTGCTTTGAGTCCGAAAGCACTCAAGAAAGATGCACCTTATTTTCCCTGGGGCCCTGGGAGCTCCCCGCAGCTTAAGTATGTGTACCCCAGTATGAGAATCTTGGAGTTGGATTATTTCTAGTGTCGCTTCTAGTCCCAGACTTGATGAAATGCCAGGACATTTAAAAGCAGAACATATTCTCCTTCCTGGAGGAAATAGATTTTGTACTAATATTAGAAAAGGATGCTCTAGTACCGAAGGAAATAGGTATATTAATAAATTAAAGGACTACCAGGATATAAATTATCTGGATTCGGATGTTAAAGGTATTCAGGGGACTTTGACTTTTTTTTTTTAAGAATTAATTGAAAATAACCAGAACATGTGAATTAAGTGGTTTGTCTTTTTCTGAAAAGCTTCCCTTTAGTACACACTGCTTAATGACTAGACTTAGTTACTAGATAGCGCGATTACGTTGATTTAAAAAATGTTGCCGTCTCCTGACTTGTATTCACACAAATTAGCTATTAGCAAATCTTACGTTTGATTACATAGATGCAAGTTGATTTATGTCACTTAAAATGGATATTCATTAGAATAGGGATGTGGGATTTTATTTTTCCTTCTCCAGATTTGGAGAGAGAAAAACATTCAGGCTTATGGAAAACCATAGGATTTTAGAAGTTTTCCATCAGTTTCTCCGGTTGTTTTGGTAATATCAACAAGTCCTTCCAGGCAGGTTTTTTGTTTGTTTGTTTTGTTTTGTTTTGTTTTGTTTTGTTTTGTTTTGTTTTAACATCAACAGCAAATGCTGTAGGACTGGGTTTTTTTGATGGTCGCATTCTGAGAGCTCTCAGTTTTTAAGTTTTGCGGAGTGGAGGAGGCATGATCTAGTGCATGCTTGCCTCCTTTTATTATGGGCCTTATCAAATAATTTCCAGTTTGGGATGTGGTCAGAAACACGAAATGTCTCCCTAGAATGTTGGAAATGGTTTGGCTTCACTTGTATTATTGACTCATGAATCTGAACCAGGAGGAGCTGGAGAGCAGAGTGCAGAAGCCATCCTTGAATTTCTGTTTGTCTGAGGGCCACTGGCTGGGAAATGATTCCTGGGGAGTGAGGAAGAAACACTTTTTTGACCTGTAGGAGCACGTGTTGTTCTCAGGGTGGTGAGAAGGTCAGGGAGTGAGTGGCTGCAGACGGCTGGGCTGGGCTGTTTATGCCAAAGTGACTAAGGATCCAGATTCATGGTGGAACCAAGTGACCATAGCCTGGGCAGGAGGATGGTGGTGGGAAGAGGGCGATGCTCGTGAGAGGGACTTCCTGACTGTTGCTCTTTCTGCCTGAGTTGTGGTCCCTGCTGTCATGGCTCCAGCTGATGGCAGGAGGAAGAGGCCTTGCTGCTCCAAGTGTGGGTGGGCCTGCAGCATCTGCACACCTGGGAGCGAGCTAGTTAGACCTGCAGCATCTCAGGCTCCCACACCCTTGCTCCTGCCCTACTTGGGAGAATTGGTGTTCAAGTTGGAGTCACCCTTTTGTCCCCCACTGAAAGGAAGGGGACTAGGGTGTCTCTGTAAGATTGCTGAACCCATTCCCTCCCCAGCACCCACCTCTTTCTTTTCTTAAATTGTGTGCAGTGAACTGTAAAGTGCGATGTGAGGGCTCGGGTGGGTGCGTGGGGGAGGGAGGGACACCTGTCATTCTAAATCAGTAGTAAGGAAAAGCAGTCTGGAATCCAGCCAGCCATGCCCCAACAGACACCTAAAACATTGGGTGATGTTTTGCGTTCTTAAAAATATGCCAGAGTAGTGATTAGGCAGTGATCCCCAAATTCTAGCTGAGTAGTTGAAGCATCTACCCACCTATCCACTCGCCTACTCTCTGTTGAACAAATCCTGTGCGCTGTGAATACGAGAGATCACAGGGTAGACAGAGCGACGGAATGGAAGCTGGATAGGAAGGAAGTGGATCTGACTCAGGTGTAGGTCACCTCTTCCTCACCCTCCCTTCCTCCCTCCTGCTTTCCTGGCCGGGTGCAGAGCTGTCAGCCTGCCTTGCTCTTTCTGCCACCTCATGTGGGGGTGGGGGCAGGTAACCTACCTTTGCCAGATTCTTTTTTTTGGAGGTGGGGGGGTGAGAGGAGAGGCAGAGTTGCCCAAGTCACTTAGTTTGAGAGAGGAAAGGACATCTCTAATGCCGTTACCATTATTTATTTCTTTAAAAAAAATAGT